TAGGCGTGTGGGCTTCAGTAGTTATGGCTCTCAGGCTCTAGAGCACAGACTCAGTAGTTGTGGCGCACGGGCTTCGTTGCTCCATAGCATGTGGGATCTTCCCGGACCAGGCCTCAAACCCGTGTCCCCTATATTGGCAGGCAGATTCTTAACCACTGCGCCACCAGGGAAGCCCATGCTTTACATTTCTATCAGCAGTATATGAGAGTTTCAGTTGCTCCACATAATTGCCAATATTTGGTATTGTTGGTCGTTTTATTATCAACCGTTCCAGTGGATGTGTAGCAATATTTCACTGTGGTTTAATATGCAGTGCTGTTGGTCATCTTTTCACGTGCTTATTTGCTATTTGTATATCTTTGATGAAATGTCTACTCAAATCTTTTGCCCATTTTTTTTTTTTTTTTTTTTTTTGCGGTACACGGTCCTCTCACTGTTGTGGCCTCTCCCGTTGCGGAGCACAGGCTCCGGACGCGCAGGCTCATTGGCCATGGCTCATGGGCCTAGCCACTCCACGGCATGTGGGATCTTCCCGGACCGGGGCACGAACCTGTGTTCCCTGCATCGGCAGGCGGACTCTCAACCACTGCGCCACCAGGGAAGCCCCCATGTTTTTTATTGGATAGCTTGCAAAAGTATGTTGGTAAATGTTTAAAAAAGACTCTCGCAGTGTAGTTCTGAAGTTTGATATTTTCATTTATATTAACGAGTAAGATGTAACTGAAACTTCAGAAGTGACTTCTTTTCTGAATGGGATAATAGTTTTCAAACAGGAGAAGAATATTTCCTCAAGTTTTTGTGCTATTGACAATGTGAAATTGATTGATGCAATATACTTTTAAGTTTAATCTCTATTAACATTTTCTCCAACATTAAGTTTACACAGTAAAAAAGCAATAAGTCAAGCTCTGGTCTGTAGCATGTGCTGACTGTATGGGGTAAATATTCTTATTGTAGCCAAAATTCAGCTATTAATGTTACTGGGAAGAGATTTGTAGTAGCACACCATGATATAAGATTTTTACTATTCAGATATTATAGATATAAGCTACCACAAAAACACAGATGATGGTAAAATACAGCAAAATAATTAGGAAATGATGACTTTGGTTTTCAATATACTTTATTTCATTGTAAGTGCGTATAGTTTAATTTTTCTAAATAGCTGTATTTAACAACCAATTTGCAAAATTCCTTTTATTTATATATATGTTTATTGAAGTATAGTTAATTTACAATGTTGTGTTAGTTTCTGGTGTACAGCGAACCGATTCAGTTATACATATATACTCTTTTTCATATTCCTTTCCATTTTGTTTTATTACAGGATATTGAATACTGTTCCTTGTGCTATACAGTAGGACCTTGTTGTTTATCAAAATTCCTGATAAATTTAACAGTAGACTCTCCAAGCGAGTATGAGGCTTCAGCACACCATTGGTTGTCTTATTACTGAGTTGGAAAGAGTTCTTTATATATTCTAGATCAGTGCTGTCCAATAGAATTTTCTGTGGTAATGGAAATGTTCTATAGTTCTTCACGGTCCAACATGATCTCCACCAGCCACATGTGGCTACTGAGTGCTTGAGATGTGGTAAGTACAACTGACAAACTGAATTTTTAATTTTAATTAATTTAAATTCAAATTAAAATATCCACATATTTAATGGCTAGTATACCATACCCGACAGCACAGTACCAGACATAGAAAGAACTGACTCTCCCTTATTTAGGATAATAATTTCCGGGACACTAATTATAGTAAGAGTTATCGCATAGTGAATACTTCATATGTTCATAATAGTTAAAAGCACAGATTATGGAGTCAGACTGTCCGGGTTCAAATATTTCAGTTTCCTTCTCTATAAAATGGGAATACAAATAGTGCATATTTCACAGAATGGTGATGAGGAGTAAATGAAATAGTGTACATGGAGTGCTCAGTACACTGTCGGGCTATCCCATAAACTCCCAATAATCGGAGTTAGCTATTATTGAGTTCTTAGATAAGTCACTTCCTTTTTTGAGCCTGTTACTTCGTCTGTAAAATTGGGCTAATATTCTCCTGATACAAATGCTGTGCAAATCAGTTAAAAAATCACTCGTAGGTCAGTTATTAAGAACCGAAACAATCTTTGGAGAAAGTTGCCATAATTTTTAATTTTCTAACAAAACCCGAAACCCCTCGAACATTGCTGGCCCTTCCCCACCGCACCCTTCCTATTCCTTTAAAATCGGCCGGGCTGCAGAGAGACGACTGAGTGACAGCGCAATAGGCCAATCACAGGAGGACGCGTATAAGGCCCACCCCCCCCCAAGGCCTCGTCCAACCGCGTGCCGGCAGCGCCCGGAATGGGATGGTTGCGAGGCGGTCGGTTCCAAGTGGGCCAGGGTGCGGGGGGGGGAAGCGGGCCTGTACTCGAGGACTGCAGCGCACTCTGCGCGCGAGGACTGGAATTCCGGCCGCAGCTGCTGGGAGTGACCCGGCCCAGCGGGACGGCGGGGGACTGACCTGTGCCTAGAGCCTATCCTAGCATGCGGGGTCTGCCGCGAATCCCTGGCGTCCCCTCCGGCGCAGTTTTGGAGCCACTTTCCCGAGCGGAAGTCCGCCTGTGTCTCGGGCCCTGGTGGGACCTGCTAGGAGGAATGGCTCCGCCGGGTGAGGCGTTGCGCATGGCTCGACAACGGGGTCCCGCGGCCCGCAGGCCTTGGCGAGTGGGCCCTCGCCCGCAGGATACTAGTGCTCGCCACGCAGGAGCTGGCTAGGCGGGATCCCCTTACCCTGCGGGGCAGGGGCATGGGCCTGGGCATGGGCTCGGGCTCGGGCTTTTGGGGTCGAGGGTCTGACGAAGAGCTGGCCAGCGGGTGGGATTGCCGCGGAGGAGGGGTTGGGTACGGGTGCGGCGCGGAGCTGCGGGTCCCCCCGAGACCCAGCCAGGGACCGCGGCCGCGGATAACGCTCGGGCTGACTTAACTCATTCATTTGACTTGCGCGGGCTTCCGGGCCAGGAGGCGTTAAGAGTGAGCTTTTGGCCAAATCGTCCTGTTTTTTAAAAAATATTTATTTACTTATTTATTTGGTTGCACAAGGTCTTGGTTGCGTTAGGTAGGGTCCTGAGTTATGGCATGCGAACTCTTAGTTGCGGCATGCATGTGGGATCTAGTTCTCTGACCAGGAAGCGTACCCGGGCCCCCTGTTTGGGAGCACAGAGTCTTAACCACTGCGCCACCAGGGAAGTCCCTCGTCCTGTTTTTGGACCATGGTTTCCTTTTTAATGAAAGGGGCAAGACAGTCAGTCATCTCTCTTTGGGAGCTTAGAGCATGAGTCCTGAAGTTAGAGTCTCCGGTACAGACTTGGAGTCTGCCACGTATTCGTTAATGTGACCCTGTGCAAGTTACTTAATTTCTCTGCCCCTCAGTTTCTCATCTGTAAAATAGGTTAGTAAAGTTATCTATCTCATGAATTACAGTGAGTGTTAAATCAGATAATTTCCTTGCGTAGCGTGGAACAGTGCGGCACTAAGTAAGTGCTCAGTAAGCTTAACTATATTGCTAGGTATTGAGTGGGCACTGTGCAGGATGGAACCTCATGTAGTCCCACAACAACTTGGGAAATGTGTACTGTTATTATTTCCATTTGACAGACGGAATATCAGAGAAGGGAAGTAACTTGCCCCAGGTAAAAGTGAATAAGTCAGTGAGCTCACTGCTCCATTATTTGAGAGGTTGAGGATAATAGAGCTCCTGCAGTTTGGTTCTCACCTAGTTACGTGTCTTAGGGCAGGTAACTATTTCTGAGACTCAATTTCATGGTCTGTAAACCGCACTCACTTGGATGTTGAGAGGATTTAATGACTAAATGGATGCAAACTACTTAGCATAGTGTGGGCATACCGTACACATGTTAAGTGCTCAAATTTTAGACCCCGCAGTTGTTATGATTAATATGAGGTGGGAATATCAGGATTCTGGCACAGATGCTGTGTTAGGGGAACTTACAGTCGACCTGGCAAAAGCTAGTCATAGTTACTCACTAGATCTTAAGGTATTGAGTGCGTGCATACGGGCCTCTCACTGTTGTGGCTTCTCCCGTTGCGGAGCACAGGCTCTGGACGCGCAGGCCCAGCGGCCATGGCTTACGGGCCTAGCCGCTCCGCGGCATGTGGGATCTTCCCGGACCGGGGCACGAACCACGTCCCTTGCGTTGGCAGGCAGACTCTCAACCACTGCGCCACCAGGGAAGCCCAGCATAAGTATCTTGATTCCTCTTTTACATCTTTCAATCCATTATCAATTCTGGCTTTAACTTTGAATTCTAGCCAGACTTCAACCACTTCTCAGTGCCTCCATTGCTGTCACCCTGGGTTAGACCACCAGCATCTTTTTTCCTGGGTTATGGCAGTAGTCTTCTATCCTTACTTCTCTATAATCTCAACACAGTATTGTTTATTCTCAACACAAAGTTCCTGTTAAAATGTATGTCGAGTCACTCCTCTGCTCAAGATTTTCCCGCGGCTCCCATCTCACTTTATAAAAGCCAAAGTCCCTATAATGCCCTGTGGATTTGGCCTCTGCTACGTCTGTTACCTTGTCCCTACTTCTCAACCCTTGCTTAATCCTCTCCAGCCATATTGTTCTCTTTGCTAAGGCGAAAAACACCATCTGCACTCCTGATTCAGGGTATTTGCCCTTGCTTTTCTTGGGATAGTTTCCCTCCAAATTTCTTTATGACTTGCTCCTTTTCCTTCAGGTTTACACACAATATCTTTATTTCTTAGGGCTTCACAGGCTACCATATGTAAAATTACAGCTCTTCCTGATATTCCTTCTGTGCTTTATTTTTCTCCATAGCACTTTTCACCTTCTAAGATGATGAATAACGTTTCATAATTATTTTGTGTAATGTCTTTCTTTTCCAACTAGAATGTAAGCTCCATGAGGTTAGGGGTTTTTGTTCTGTTTCCTGTTGTATTTTTAATACCAAAAATAGTGCTTGGTACATAGTAGGTACTTAATAAATATTTGATGAATGATGATCCACATTATAGATCTCTTTCTAGTTTTTTTCAAGAGCTTTTGCATTCTTTAGGTTATTTAACACACACGAGGACTTAAATAACACTAACACTCATGCCCCTAGTGTAGGCATCCCTTCTACAACATTCTCTAAAAAATAGTGGAGTGCGAACTCCATAGATAGACCTGGGTTTGAGTCCAAGATTGGCTATCTCCAAGCTGTTCTGGTCCTCGGTTTTCTTATTTGTAAAATACCTTTTTTAAGGTATTTAAGGTATTTCTAGTTCAAACTAAATTTGACGCTATAGGCAAAGGAGCAGTAATCATTAATGTTAACCTTGTGATTACTGTTACTTGGAAGGCAGACTGTTCATGAAGCTGCCCATCTGAATGTGTTTTTTTCCAAATGAAAAGTAGAAATGTTCCACTTCTGTGATTTCTCTCTGTCCCCTGGGGCATAATGGATGAGGATTGATTTTTCTTTCCATTTATTCAGCAAATATTAATTCAGTACTGCTATGTGCCAAGCAGTGTGCAAGATCTGGAATTACTGGGATGAATAAAAGCAACGGTCTCTGTCCTCATGACGCTTACAGTCTAGCAGAGGAATAAGACATTACACTACTAATTTTAGTTGTGAAAAATTCTGCATAGAAGTGCAGGTTGCTGTGAGCAGATATAGGAACAACAACAACAATAATGTAATAGAAGGAGTAGCTAACATTTATATAGCACTTACCTATATATGTGCCAGTCACTAGCATTTTCTGTATTAACGCATGTAATCCTAACAACCCTGAGGTAGATACTGTGATTATCCCACTTTACACTTGAGAAAACTGAGACACAGCTGGTCACATTGTAACTGCCATGGCCACCTTGCTAAGAAGTGACAGAGCTAGGATTTAAACCTGGCCCCAGAAACCTCGTTGTTTGCTACTTTATAGTACTGGGACCTCATCCAAAGGAGGGCTGTTGGGAGGCTTCTTAAGGAAGAGATACTCGAAATCTGAAAGTCGAAATTAAGCAGGAGAAGGCATGCAAAAGAGCTGGGTGGGAAAGAACACGACTACTTAGAGGAGCAGAGAGCAACAGATGAAAGAGTGGGGGAGGAGATCTGGTTGGGACGGGCAAGGCCACGGGGGAGGATTCAGGATCGGGTTTGTCCTACGAGGCATGCGAGTTACAAATGTACTTGAGATGGGAATGGCATGATGAGTCCCTTGCTTCAGAGGCACAGAAGCTGCTGGGAGGACTGTCGTTCAGAGAGTTGAACACCATGCCCACCACTTCCCCAAGGCGTGTCTCCAGGTTGAACCTCCCAGTTCCCTCACCTTCCTCACATAATTTGGTTCCCAGACCTTGGTGTGCCTCATCATTGGAACTTTGTGTAGAACTTTGGAATAGTGTGGAGTGTATTTATTTAATAGTCGTTTCCCCCCAAGGTTCAAGCACTGTCTTCCTGTTGGCCCTGACAATCATAGCCAGCGCCCATGCTCTGACGCCCACTCACTACCTCACTAGGCATGATGTGGAGAGACTGAAAGCCTCGCTGGATCGCCCTTTCACAAGTTTGGAATCTGCTTTCTACTCCATCGTGGGACTCAGCAGCCTTGGTGCCCAGGTGCCAGATGTAAAGGTAAAGACCACTTTTGTCTTGGTGGCCTCATGCCTTCACTGGGTTCCTTTTGTGTACTTCAAAACTAACCCTTGCTCATTTGAGGATAACCAAGGCAGACCCAATATAATAAATATTTATATCAGTCTGACAGATCCTTTTTTTTTGTTGTTTTTTGAATGCCCAATATATGTTAGGACCATGCCAGGTGTTTTAGTAGAATATAAAGGAGAGCAAGTCATAGATTCTTTAGAAACTTTTTTTTTTTTTTTTTTTGTGGTACGCGGGCCTCTCACTGTTGTGGCCTCTCCCGCTGCGGAGCACAGGCTCCAGGCGCACAGGCTCAGTAATTGTGGCTCACGGGCCCAGTCGCTCCGCAGCATGTGGGATCCTCCCAACCAGGGCTCGAACCCGCGTCCCCTGCATTGGCAGGCGGACTCTCAACCACTGCGCCACCAGGCAAGCCCCTCATGCTGTTTTTGAACGTATTTCCTTATCTCTTTAATTCCTATAAACTGATAGTTAGCTCTTGAGGCTTAATTATAATCAGGGTCAGTTTTCTTGGCAGAAATAGTTCATAGGCAGTGCTGTGTGCTTCCTATCAGTGGATGCATAATATCTGATTGTTTCATTTTTAGTTATGATAAAGTTGAATCAGTGGATTCAGGTGTTGTCATACTAATCTATCTCCTGTACACAGTATATAGTAGGGACTTGTTTTTTATCCATTCTGGCAATCTCTGTCTTTTAATTGGAGATTTAGTTCATTTATATTTTTTTGTAACTATACTGTTGGGTTTAAGTTTACCATCTTGTTTTCTATTTATCCATTTTTTTCCTCGTCCTTTCCTGTCTTAGATTGAATCTTTTTTTTTTTAATATTCCAGTTTATCTCTTATATTGGCTTTTTAGCTTACTTATTTTTTTAGAGGTTGCTCTAGAGATTGTAATATGCATCTTAACTTATCACAGTATACTTTGAATTATTATTTTGCCACATCACGAATAAGGAAGGAACCTTATAACAATATATTTCTCTTTAAACTCCCATCATTTGTACTATTGTCATACTGCTTACAAGGGTCATGGCCTTGTCCTGTCTGTTGTCCAGCATCTCAGCTTCATCTATTTTGTTCAGTTTTACAGTTATTTATGACAGGCTGGTAAATTCAGTACGTTTATTTCTGTCCTGGTCAGAACTGGTAGTCTCTGTTGATGTCTTGCAATCCATTGCAATTGTTACTGTTTTTGATGCTCAAAATGTCCCGTTTTTGCCAGTGGGCCAGAATGTCTCTCTGTGTGTGTTTTGTTTGTTTCTATGTAATCCAGTAGTCTTTGAGAGTTTCTGATGTCCTTGGCTTAAATATTTTCTGGCCGAGACTAGAATCAGTAATTGTTATTATTTATTTATTTATTTATTTTATTTTATTGCGGTACGTGGGCCTTTCACTGCCACAGCCCCTCCCGTTGCGGAGCACAGGCTCCAGACGCGCAGGCCCAGCAGTCATGGCCCACAGGCCTAGCCGCTCTGCGGCATGTGGGATCCTCCCGGACCGGGGCACGAACCCGTGTCCCCTGCATCGGCAGGTGGACTCTCAACCACTGTGCCACCAGGGAAGCCCCTGTTATTATTTATTGAATGTCTCATGTGCCAGGTACCCTGGATATGTTATCTTGAGTTGTCTTCATTCTATATGGTCAGAAATATTATCCTGTATTAGAGGAGGAAACGCAAGCTCAGAAAGGTTAAGAAAATTGTCCAGTGTCTGCCAACCATCATCTGCATAATGGCCCCCAGGGTCAAATCCAGCTTGAAGCCTGTTTTTGTAAATAAAAGTTTACTGGAACACGGCCACGCCCCTCACTCACATATTGCTATGGCTGCTTTTGCACTTTAACAGTAGAGTTCAGTAATTACGGAAGAGACTTATCTGGCCCCCAAAGCCTAATATTTACTCTCTGGCCCTTTACAGAAAGTTTGCTAATCCCTGCTATGTGAGAGCTGTGCTTATTCAGATTTCTTCCTGACAGCTATCTCTTGTTGCTGCCCAATATTTCCTTCCTGTGTGTGACTGTTAATGAAACAGACTTCCCTCATGTTGTTTTAAACCCTCCAGGTCAATATACCTCCTAATAAAATTAGTTTTGTTCAAGAGAAAAGAGTACAGGCAGCAGAGTCGCTAGTCCAAGTTTTTAATTCTGGCTCCATCTCTCTGTAAAATGGGAGTTGTGATGCCTTCCTCATGGGATCATTGTAAAGATAAAGTGAAATCATATTATGCCTAGTAAGTGACTGGCCCACGAAAGGCCCTTTGAATGGTAGCTATTATTATAATTATATAATATTATATTATAATTATTTAATAATTGTTATATTATAATTTTAAAAGTTTTGCTTCTATTTATAATTTATTCAGGTGAGTTCAGACAATGCTGGTGCAGATACTGTATGGAAGGCCCACAGTGTCTGTAAAGGGCTTGGGAAAGAGAGAGAACAGACAATTGGGAGACATAGGGTGGAGCAGTCTTGACCAGTAGAGGTTTTGTATCGTAAGGTGTAGGAGAGAAAATTGGAATATTAGGCTAATGTTAAATTTTGGCGGATCTGAATGCAGGATGAGAGTTTTCTGCTGGTCTGTTTGAAAATTCTGTGGGACCATAGGATTCCGTCTAGGGGCCTCCTGGAGGAGTGAGGAGTGAGGCGCTCTCACTCTAACTGAAATGATACTTTTTAAAATTAATTTTTAAATTAATTAAGACCCAGCTGCGCTGGGTCTTCGTTGCTGCATGCGGGCTTTCTCTAGTTGCGGCGAGCGGGGGCTACTCTCTGTTGCGGTGCATGGGCTTCTCATTGCAGCGGCTTCTCTTGTTGCAGAGCATGGGCTCTAGGCGCATGGGCTTCAGTAGTTGTGGTACTCGGGCTCAGTAGTTGTGGCTCGCTGGATCTAGAGCACAGGCTCAGTAGTTGTGGCGCACGGGCTTAGTTGCTTCGCAGTGTGTGGGATCTTCCCGGACCAGGGCTTAAACCCGTGTCCCCTGCATTGGCAGGCTGATTCTTAATCACTGTGCCACCAGGGAAGCCTCAAATGATGCATTTTTATCTGTCTCATGATTTAGAGCTGCACGTGGATTTAGGTTGAACTCATGCCCCTATAGGTTTTCTCTGCTGATGTAATGGGTTTGAGGGCACGTTGGTCAGGGCTGAAGACATAGGCTGAAGCCATCCAGACAGCTGCAGTGCAGTGTGATTTGGGGGTAATTGCGTGATTAGCTGTGGGCTTTTTATTCATAATACAGACTCTAAAGTCACATTGGTTGGCTTCAAGATCTTGACTTCACAACTACACCACTGAGTAACCTGTGCAGCTTACCGAACCTTTCAGAATGTTTATTTTCTCATCTGCAAGATGGAGATAGTTTTAGTACTCAGCTCACAAGTGATGGATGTAGGTTGGTTGGCATGGTGATGGCATGTAGTAATGGGTGTAATCAGTATTAGCTCTTAGTGGTACTATTACATGGTAGTAGCGGTAAATGTATGTTGATTGACATTTTATTTTTTCTCCTACTGTCATCCCCATTGCTTAATGCCTAATGAAGAAGGTGTTCCACAAATATTTGTTGAATTGTAAACTTTAGCTTAATAGAAATGAAAGCTCTCTAAATGTGCCTCTTAATTGGAAAATAAATGGGTTAATCACGTACTTCATTTTAATCACTTATGAAATGTGCTGTGGTGATGGTGTGATGTGTACATTGTAAGCAGTGGAAGGAAGGGAGTTGTATGGATATTTTGGAGTTGGTGAATTTCCTTATTAGAGGTGTACACTAAAGAAATCCATTGAGAGAGAGTCTCTGTTACTGTCACTTCCATGTAGTGGGATGTGTCCTGCTCAGCTGTTGTTGCTTTCAGCTGAGTAGAGAGAACTCCCTCAGTTCTGCTAGATGCACTGAGTTGGTTGTTCTCACAGATAGATCATTAGGGGAGATTTTGGTTATTTTTTCGAAAGTGATTCAGCAGCAGAACTGAGAGGAATGGGGTTTAATAAGAATATGAGAGTAGAGCGCAGCTCTGGGAACAGTGGAGTGTGGAATGAGAGTTGATTTTAGGTGTTATGAAGACTGAACATCTTTCATTTTGGTATCAAGTACTGTGTATGTATATTTTAAAAACATAAGCACATGAGAATGGCGATTTTATAGATTTTTTTAAAAAAATAAATTTATTTTATTTATTTATTATTTGGCTGTGTTGGGTCTTTGCTGCTGCATGCGGGCCCTCTCTAGCTGCTGTGAGTGGGGGCCACTCTTCGTTGCGGTGTGCTGGCCTCTCATGGCGGCGGCCTCCGCTGTTGTGGAGCATGGGCTCCAGGCACACGGCTTCAGCAGCTGTGGCACATAGGCCCAGCAGTTGTGGCTCTCGGGCTCTAGAGTGCAGGTTCAGTAGGTGTGGTGCACGGGCTTAGTTGCTCCGTGGCATGTGGGATCTTCCCAGACCAGGGATCAAACCTATGTTACCTTGTGGGGTTAAGAATCCCCACACGCCGGGCTTCCCTGGTGGTGCAGTGGTTGAGAGTCCTCCTGCCGATGCAGGGGATGCGGGTTTGTGTCCCAGTCTGGGAGGATCCCACATGCCGCGGAGCGGCTGCGCCTGTGGGCCATGGCCGCTGAGCCTACGCCTCCGGAGCCTGTTGCTCTGCAACGGGAGAGGCCGGGAGAGGCCACAGCGTACTTCAAAAAAGAACAAAAAAACACAAAAACAAACAAACCAAAAAGAATCCCCACAGGTGGATCCTTAACCACTGTGCCACCAGGGAAGTCCCTATAGATATTATTGCTTAGCTTTTTATAAGACTTAGGAACATTGAGGGTTATTTTGTATTCGTTTTAATGAAAATATTAAGTAAATGGGAGACATACTATGCAAAAATTGTGATGGTAGATTAGATTCTAATGACTGAAATCAGGACACATTAGACAGTGTTCACAGGTTGTCAGTCAATCAGGCACTTTCCTGATCT